CCACAACTCTTCTGGTCTTCAGTTTTAGTAGTTAATGTATAAAATCTGTTCTTCAGATGATCTCTAAATTTCTGTGGGATATATTCAAGGCCATATTTTGGCTCTTGTGGACTTTTTTCATTTTCTTCAGCTTCAATTTAAATTTGCATACGAACAATTAATGGTCTCTTCCACAATATGCCCCCTGCCTTGTTTTGACTGATGATATGGAACTTTTACATCGTCTCTTTCTGCAGATGTAGTCAATTTGATTTCAGTGTATTCCATCTGGTGAGGTCCATGTGTATTATCATCTCTTAGTGTAAAGAATTTTGAAATGAATAAATCATTTATTTTGCAGAATTCTATCATGCAATCTCCAGCATCATTACTATCATCAAGGCCGTAGTTTCCAACCACTGATCCTTCTTTGTTCCCAACCTTTTTATTCCAATCACCAGTAATTATCGATACATCTTGATTGTATGTGTGATCAGTTTCAGATTAAAGAAGCTGGAAGAATTCTTCTATTTCATCCTCACTGGCTTTAGTGGTTGGTTGCTAATTTGAATAATAGTGGTAGTAACTTGTCTTCCCTGTGATGTTGTTGTTGTTGTTAGGTACCATTGAGTTGGTACTGACCCATAGCGACCTTATGCACAGCAGAATGAAACACTGCCCGATCCTGGGCTAACTTCATTACTTTTGCCATGCTTGAGTCCATCTATGCTGCCACTTGGCCAATCCATCTCGTTGGCGGTCTTCTTCTTTTTCTCTGACCCTCCATCTTACCAAACATGATATCCTTTTACAGTGTCAGGTTCCTCCTGACAATATGTCCAAACTAAGAGAGATGAAGTTTGGCCATCTTGGCCTCTAAGGAACACTCTGGCTGCACTTCTTCCAAAATGGATCTATGGGTTCTTTGGCAGCCCATGGCACTTTCAATATTCTCCTTCAACACCATAACTCAAAAGCATCAATTCTTCTACAGTCTTCCTTATTCACTCTCCAGCATTTGCATGCATATGAGGTTATTGAAAATATCATGGCTTGGGTCAGGTGCACCTTAGTCCTCAAGCTGACATCTTTGCTTTTCAGCACTGTTAAAATGCCTTGTGCATAAGATTTGACTAGTGCAATACTTCATTTGATCTCTTGACTGCTGCTTCCATGCGTGTTGATAGTTGATCCAAGAAGAAAGAAGTCCTTGACAACTTCAATATTTTCTCTGTTGATGAGAATACTGTTTATTGGGCCAATGGTGAGGATTTTTGTTTTCTTTACATTGAGATGCAATCCATACTGAAGGCTATGCTCTTTGATCTTCATCAGTAAATGTTTTAAGTCCTCTTCACTTTCAGCAAGCAAGGTGGTGCCATCCGCATATCGCAGATTGTTAATGAGTCGTCCTCCAATCCTGATGCCACATTTTTTTCATATAACCCAGCTTCTCAGATGACTTACTTAGCATGCGGGTTGAATAAATATATTGAATGAATACAACCCTGTCACACACATTTCTTAATTTTTAAACATTCAGTGTTCCCAAGCTCTGTTCAAACAACTACCTCTTCGTCCAGGTACAGATTCCTCATGAGCACAATTATGTGTTCCGAAATACTCATACTTTGCAATATTGTCCATAGCTTATCATGATCCACACAATCGAAAGCCTTTGCATAGTCAATAAAACACAGATAAACATCTTTCTGATATTCTCTGCTTTCAGCCAAGATCCATCGGACATTAGAAACTATATCCTTCGTTCCATGGCCTCTTCTGAATCCGGCTTGAACTTCTGGAAGTTCTCTGTCAATGTATGGGTGTAGCTGCTTCTGTATTACCTTTAGTAAAACCTTATTCACTTGAGATATCAAAGAGATTGTCCAATGATTTCCGCATTCCATTGGGTCACCTCTCTTTGGAATGGGCATGAATATGGATCTGTTCCAATCAGTTGGCCAGATAGTTGTCTTCCAAATTTTTTGGAAGAGAAGAGTGAGTGCCTCCTGTGCTGTGTCACTTTCTTGAAAGATTTCAATATTTATTCCATCAATTCCTGGTGCATTTTTCTTTGCCAATTCCTTCAATGTACCTTGGACTTCTTCCTTCAGAATCATTGCCTCTTAATCCTATGATACCTCTTGAAATGGTTGAACATTAACCATTTCCTTTTGGTACAGTGGTGCTGTGTACTCCAAAGAATGAGTATCCCATATCACTGAATTTTTCTCATAAGCAACTTGTACATAGACTAAGAAGCATTTTTTAGAACATGGGGATGCTGAATGTTTTAAAATCAGGAAATGTCTGTACCAGGATTGTATCCTTTCAACATAGCTATTCTATTCAGCATAACTATTCCTTTGTCTGTAGGTTGAGAAAATAATCTGAGAACATGGATTATATGAAGAACATGGAATCATAATTAGAAGAAGACTCATTAAAATCTGTCATATGAAGATGATACAATCTTGCATACTGGAATGAAAAGGACTTAAAATACTGACTGATGAAGATCAAAGATTATGACTTTGTAGTCTTTGATCTACATCAGTATATATGTATGGTTTACATCTCAATGTAAAGAAGACAAAGATCTTCAAAAGTGAGCAAGAAATAAAATCATGAATAATGGATATAAAGATTGAAGTTGTCAAAATCTTTAATTTTGTTTAGATCCACATCAACACTTATTAAAGGAGCAGTCAATAAATCAAATGATGTGTTGCTTTAGGAAATCTGTTGCCTAAGACTTCTTTAAAGTGTCCAAGAGCAATGATGAGAGCTCAACTAGAAAAAGAAAGAAGAGGAAAAAAGAGTAATCTGTTACAGTGAGAATCATTTCCACCCCCTCCATACGCAGAGTAGACAGCGATGGGCAAATTGGACATTGGCTACCTAAAATGGGGTGGGGGTTTACAAAGGCAAGAAGTGACTGGCTTACAAGTTTTCAAGAGGGAGCCTAGATCCAGAGGGCACAGAGGAAGGCAGAATCTTCACTGAGTAGTATCCAGTCTGTCTGGGTGGGGCTGATGAAAGGAGATGGGGATAGGTCACTTGTGATATAATAGTGAATAATTGTTATCAGGACTGACTGTGAGGGTTAGCAAAATGAGTGGACTGGCTGACTTTGCAGTCTAGAAGTGGAGTTTCCTGGGACCATCAAGGGAGTGGGACCCTACCCAGAGAAGCAGTGACTCCAGAGATGGAGGCAAAGATGATGACATGACGAGATGGAGTGGCTGAGGACTTTAGACCCAGAGAGGGAAAGGAGCTGTGTGCTGACAACCGGGGGGTCAGGCTTGCAGGATATACCCTTTGGTTGGCTGAGGATGCATGGAGGGGATTCTAACCATAATAATGAAATTATATACGATAGGATGAATGTAGAGCTAATGTTCTCCCATGAACTATCACATAATTCACAATAAAACATTAAAAAAATAAAAAAGAGTAAGGATGTCAGGTTGAGGATAATGGTATGCTTGAATCAGCTATGGTATTTTCACATGCCTCATATGTATGTGGCGTTCTGGTGTTGTGCTGTGGGTTAATGTGCTGGACTTCAAAGACATTTGAACTGCAAGGTTGGTGGTTCAAGCTCACCAGCCACTCCTTGGAAACCTTATACAGGGTCGTTATGGGTTGGAACTGACTCAAAGGCACTTAACAACCACAAGAACATATGCATGTGAAAGTTGGTCATAGAATATAGAAGAATTTATGTGTTCTCTGGTAGCGTTGTTGTTGTTAAGTGCCTTCGAGTCAGAGCCGACCCATAGCGACCCTGTACAGGGTTTCCGAGGGTGTAAATCCTTACGGGAGTAGAAAGCCTCATCTTTCTCCCGCGGAGCGGCTGGTAGTTTCGAACCACTGACCTTGAGGTTAGCAGCCCAATTCGTAACCACTACGCTACCAGATAGCGTAGTGGTTACGAATCGGGCTGCGAACCTCAAAGTCAGCTAGTTCAAAACTACCAGCTGTTGCGCAAGGTGAGGCTTTCTGCTCCGTAAAGATTTACAGCCTCGGAAACCCTATCCAGGGTCGCTATGAGTCAGAACCGACTCCACAGCATATAGCAATAAAACAACAATAACTGGTGTGAAGAATGCTAAAAGTCCTATGGACAGCCAGTGAGGTAATTAGAAGCTAGCAGGGAGAGACTTCATCTCTCATGCTTGGTAAAGTGGAGGGTCTGTGAAAAAAGAGGAAAACTTCAATGAGATGAAGAATGGCAGCAGAAACATATCAAGAATTGTAAGGATGGTTCAGCACTGGGCAGTACTTCCTTCTATTTTGAAAACGGTTGCCAATGTAATGGCACCTAACAGCAACAACAATAGCTCAACTACAAAAGAAAATTAAAAACTACTAAATATGAAATAAGATTTCTCTTTGAAAAATTACATTACATATTTTCATTATTGTATTTCCCTTGGGGGTTAGATGTTTCTGTCACGTAGTTATTTAATTAAAATGAAAACTCTCTGCTTTATCCTTTAGGGGAGGACAGGTACCAACTGCTAAGTTTTAAAAATCATTAATCTTGTACAGAGTCCTGGAGTGGTGCTATAGAATAAGGCACTGGACCACAAGGTCGGTTTAAACCACAAGGTCAGCAGTTCAAACTCACTAACTACTCCTCAAAATCCCTATACAGGGTCTGGGAACTGACCCAATGGGACTTAACAACAACAACCTTGTCCATAAATATTTAACAATAATTCATTGGTACACAAGCTGAAGTAAAATAAGAACTCAAGAGAAAATCTTGGAGCGTTTCCGGAACTGCTCGGGATTACCACAGCAGGCACCAACTGATTGGCTGACTAGCCCAATCCAGGATCTGATTGGAAAGACCTGAGATCCCTCTGAGAGTGCTTGCCCTTCAAGGGTCACCAGGCAGGGGGATAGCCTTTGAGGGTCTCTTCTGTGGATTGGGCAAGCTGGAAAGAGGCGGACCCCGGCCTCAGCCCACTTCGAGTCTGGTTAGCCTGTTTGCGTACATACGACAGAACCAGATCCGCAGGCCGAGTTGGACTCACAGCTATTGCAGTTGAGACAAGACTTGGAGGAGTTAGAGGCGAAACGGGTGTCTCTAAACGCCCGAGTGGAGGAGGGCTGGTTCTCGCTCTCCAAGGCCCCTTAAACCATGGGTGCTAAATCGGTAGGGCCTTTGCAGTATGCCTCTCATTTGGTACCCCATTGCTGCATCAGCACCAGCACCAGCAAGACCCAGAGCGGATTCCAGAAGTTGTGGATGGTGAGAGCCATCTCCCAGACCCCAGAAGAGGTGGGACCCCAAGAGCCAGCTCTGAAAAGACAAAAGGGCTTCTCCAGGGCTCCAGGTTCAGAGCCCTCTTCAGTTCCTCGGGATTCCCCGAACTGCTTCGGGATTCTGGTTCCTCACAGTCTGCTGCAGGCCCAAGCAAGCTTCCAGGAGGGCCTTCAGCTGGGTACAGACATGGCCAACCTCCAGATCCGCATCAGTTGGGCTCAAAGCCAGTTCCAGGGTCTCCAAAATAAACTAAGGCAGCTTGAGCCTGGGGATGCTGCTGACCTGAATCCACAGAGTCAAGACAAAGATCACAGCTGTTCTCAGACGAGGCTGCCTTTCATCTGGCCTTCTTCCTATACAGATTGCTCCTTCTCACCTCAGCAGTTCTCTCTCCTTAAAATTCTGATCTTTCTGTTTCCATTTTTATTAGGTATGAAAATTTGAAAAGGAAAACTGAGTAATGTTTAAAGCCACTACTTTAAAACCATTTATAGGCCCATGTTCTTAAAGGACATGCTCACATGAAGTAGGTTGTTTATATTAGTGAAGAAAGAAAAACAACTTTATGGATAAATCAGTTGTAGTTTAGTTATACCGTACAACCCTGTGATAGGAAAGGACGAGAACTGGGTGCTACAGGTTCATTAGATCCTCAAAACTGACTTCCAGTGAGGAAAATAACATGCTTAACTGACAGATTAGGGCAATATGATACTAAGTAAGCAAACAAAAACACCTGACTATATGGGCAGCCCTTGATAGCTACCCAAATTTAAAATATCTGATTTTGATTTTCAAGAGACTTCTAAGAAGAAAATTAGTATTTAAAAATCTGCCTCCTGTCTCAACAGGAGTGAGGCTTAGTGCATGTTTCATTTTCTATGAATTCTGTTCATGTCCTTGATTCATTTATCTACTGGATTGTTAGTCTTTTTTTAAAGAAATTTGAAAGTGCTTTATATGTTGGGAAGATATTAGTCTTTTTATTAATAACATGAGATATAATTTTTCCCCATTTGTTTTTTTTTTTTTTTTTTTTGCTCCATCGTGTTTTCTTGTTTTGTTTGGTTTTTCAATTGTAAAATAAAACATTACAAAAACACTAGAAAAAAAAGAGAGAAAATCTTGCAATGTTACATTATAAGAATGCTCTATAAAACAAAAGCAGGATTAACAACTTCCTATTACTTATTCAAATGACCATTAATACATTTCTGAATAGTTATACAACTATTTATATTTGCTCTTCTTTTAAAATGTATAAAAATAGACAGGGTGTGAAAAGATATTAAATATCACTTTCCTTGAATCTCTAAAATCTTGCCATTTTGTCACAGTTGAAGTGTTGCACCTGTAAAAAGTTAATAGGATTTATTAATCATATCTCTTATAGACAGATAAGAATGGGCTTCCATCTTATGATTGAGGAAGAACCATGGATACAAGTTGACTTTTCCTCTATGTATTCTTCCCATCCTATAAAGTCCATTTCTAAGATGATTATATAGGGTTACTTTGAGTCAGAACTCACTCAGCAGTTCTTAACAACTGAATTCTGTGTAACTCTGTACAGAAGTGAAGACTCTCTCAAAGCCTCATGACTTCGAAAAAGGAATACAATGGGGGGTGGGGAGGTTACAAAGTTTAAGAAGTCAAAAGATCTGGTTAAGGCGAGTATTCCCTACCCATCAAATGAGAGAAGGGAAGTCCATCTATGATTACTCATTCTGAATTCTTAGTCGTTTTTGGATTTTGTGACTAAGAGGCATACAATAGTGGTGTATGCATGTAAATGTGTGTGTATATATGTGAATTTGTCTATCAATGGTACTCTGTGACTATATGTGAACATGTTTTTTTCACAAGTGTTATGTAAAAGATAATGAAAAGGAGGGATCTGTGAAACTGTATTATCAAATGCTGCTAAAGTTCTTAGAGAACCTCATTGTGGGTTGCCATTCAATTTATAGGATGGGAGTCTTGGTATGGTGCAGTGGATGAATGCACTGCAAGGCAAAGTCAGTTTGAGCTACAAGGTCAGTAGTTCAAACTCACCAGCCCACTCCTCAGAAACTCTACACAGGTTTGTTATGGGTCAGAACTGACTTGATGGTTCTTAACAACAACAATTCTTTCTGTCAGGAGTATTTGTTCTATTCCTGGTTCAAGTGCTTGAGCATCTAAATTGGGGAATTTTTCTAAATATGCTTACTCTGAATCTCATTCCCTAGTGTCATGACTGACTAACTTTCAATTTACTTTGAATAGGTCCTTTCCCTACACCCTGCTTAGATTACCTTACTGCTGAGGTTGGTTGTAGTTTTTCCTGAGACAAGCTGTACGGGGTATGACATGAGACCCTCTTCTAATGCCTAACAATTTATCTAGGAGACAGTCATCCATGTTGAAGCACCTGCTCTCTGCAGAGCATGTCCTTGCCAACCTAGATTAGCTCTCACAAGGAGAAGAAGATAAACAGATACAATTTAAAAAAAAAAAAAAATTGTATATAGGAGACAGACAGCAAAACTGAGTTGGCAGGTTGGATGTTGTGTGGCCATCTTGAATTTATGTGACCAGCTTTGGAAGCAGACATTGGCTGGGCAGTGTAGAAACATACCAGTGACACCCAAGAAAAAGGTGTGACTTTTTTCTTATCCTCCACATTCCCTTCAAGGCCATAAGTGTAGACATCTTCCATTCATGGTCACCCCTAATAAAGTATGCTTTCTTTATCAGAGCTGCACAGTGGTGAGCCACACAGTTGTGAAATGCATCTAAATGAGTGCAGCACTATCTACACCAAATCCCACAACTGGATTCAGGTAAGGTTTGCTCCAGACAAGAAGTCAGTCCTGGACAGCCTTGTATTACCAGGAACTTTCCAGGCCTGTCATTCCTGGGAATACCTCTGTGATGGAAGGGATCTGATCCCAGCTGCTTTGGTATCTGCATGAACTACTATAGATTGAGTGCCCAGAACAGATAACACCAAGGCCTATACAGTCTCTAACTTGGGCATGGAGCACCAATGTTTCATCCCTTGCTAACTGACTATTAATTCCTTGGCTGACAGGAGCACCCCAGATTTTTCTCCTCACTGGGTTTAATACCTGCTCTGGGTTTTTCTTTCATTGCTTTTATTTATTATTTCTTCTCCTACCTTTTTTCTCTTCCCTTTTTTTATCCTTTCTATCTTCTCAGTCATCATTTTTCTTTTCATCTGTTTCTCTTTCCTTTTTTCTTCCCCTCTTAAGTATTCTTTCCTCCTTTTTTTATTTTGTATTATTTTTATCTTTAGCAGTTTCCCCCCCCCCTCTTTTTTTGGTTATTGTGTTCTATTACTAATAATTGCCTGTATGTTTTTATTTATTTTTATTTTCTCATTTACCATTTTCATTTTTTATGGTTTGTTTGTTGCATGCATGTGTGTGTGTGTATGTGAGTGTTTTCAATTTTTGGATCACCAAACAGTACAGCAACTATGCCCAACCCATAGAGCCCAGCCACAACTGCAACTTCCTCACCCTCTAGACTGGACAAGAACCAATATAAATTCATATGCATCTGATTCTGCTACTTGTCTGCCAGTTTGTGGTAATTGGTTGTCTTGTATATTGCTGTGATGCTGGAAGCTACACAACCAGTATTTTAAATACCAGCAGGATCAGCTACCAGTATTCATCCATCAGATTGTTGTACTGAGGTGACTTGTGTGTTGCTGAGATGCTGGAAGCAATGCCACAAGTAATTAAATACCAGCAGGATCACACATGGTAGACAGCTTTCAGTGGAGTTCCTAGACTAAGATAAACTATGAATAAGGACAGAACAACTATTATGGAATGTAGACCCATTGTCAAATATAGTCCTGCAATATTATAACCTCGGTTTAGAAGACATTTAAAAGATTATTATGCAAAGTTGACCATGATTATACAAGTAGAAGAATGCTTTGGAGACCATTTGAGGCAAAACTAAAAATAAGGTAAATAGCTCTAATCTCCACTAATAATTGAAGCCTGAAATGTTACAAAGTATGAATCTAGGAAGTTGTTAAAAATGAAATTGAATGAATAAAGCATCCTAGGTATTACTCAGTATAAATGGACTGGTGTTGGGTATTTTGAATCTGACAACCATATGGATTATTATGATAGGCATGACAAATTGAAGAGGAATGCCATATTCATCTTCACAAAGAACATTTCAAGGGAAGGTATGACATGAAGGCAGACTAGGCAGAAATGTATGAACTTTGTACAAATAAGATATGCAAAACCAAATGAAACTGATGCAGATGATGGTTATAGAACTCTGAGCCTCAGATAAAGAGATGAAAAAGTGGACTTAATGCTTACTGGGAGAGAGAAGTGAGCTGATGTGGCAAAAAAAAAAAGAAGTGATTGCTGAGCCGTGACAGGCACTCATACTTGCCGCAACAATCTTGATTTTTGTGAGTGGCTTCACAGACAAGAAAACATATTTGTGTTCTAGAAACCTACCTGTGACTTGCTGAAAAAAAGGTAAGATATTTTTCTGGATCACTATACTCCCCTGGTGACCAGATGTGAGGTAGACCTTGACCAGAGTACACCTTCAGAGAATCTTACAACCTTTAGGGGATCAGAGCCACACAGCGTTTGAAACCAGGTTTGTGAGCCCCATTGAAGATGGGAGAAGTGTTTCACAATAACACAATTTACACAGGCCCTGCTTCAAGTCTGCAAAGTCAGCCCTGGCCAGCCCTGAACTATTTTTCACTAGGAGAAGTGGGTGAATGGAAGCATAGAGTAGAGAAAATGAAAAAAAGAATGAAATACTGGTGATCTGGGTGGGCCCCTCAGGTACAGCGAGGAAATATTGAACAGTCTCAGGCAAGAAACTAGTAGGTGTCATAGAGAAGAGAAAGCTGTTATGACTTTTTTTTCTTTTTTGTTTTTTTTTTCTTCTGTTACGTTCTTTTATAGATGTGGCTTGCTGTTCGTTTATTTTCTTTCTCTCTTTTGTGTGTGTGTTCTCTTCTTGACTCATATGACAGAAGACAGCAACAGTGATTATACAACCCAGGGAGAACTATAACCTCTATAATCCCACAAATTAGACAAGAGCCAATTATAGATCAACAACAGCAATCAACATCAGTTAAATACACCCTGAACTGAAATGCATGAACAGTAAACAGAATATCACACAAGTTCATCTCCTTGTCACAGCCACCAGGAGGCAGTTGGTGAGTGCCTAAAATACACAAACATACATTGATCAACTGAATACAAATACAACAACACTACAATGGCTCAAAAGCAACAGGCAATTTGTGTTCACACAAAGAAACAAAATAGTTTAAACAAATGACCAAGAGGCAGAGCTAGAATATGTTTTTGAGTAAAAAAGGCATTGCGACTACCTGAAAATGAAATCAGGATAATGACATTCAGGTACCTCCAAATGATTGACAGAAAGATTGAAGGGAAAAAAGAAGAATTCAGAAAAGCACTACAGGAGCAATTCTGCAAAATGGATGAGTATTAGAGACAATACAAAATCTGGAAACAGAAATCGAGAAGATTAATACTAAGATATCAGAAATGGGCAATACACAGAAAGAACAAAGGAGTAGATTTGAATCAATGGAACTAAGATTTTTTTTTTAGCTTGATGCAAATTAGCTCAATACTGATATGGTTGTTGTTGTTGTTAAGTGCCGTCGAGTCGGTTCCGACCCATAGCGACCCTGTACAGGGTTTCCGAGGGTGTAAATCCTTACGGGAGTAGAAAGCCTCATCTTTCTCCCGCGGAGCGGCTGGTAGTTTCGAACCGCTGACCTTAAGGTTCGCAGCCCGGTTCGTAACCACTACGCTACCAGAGCTCGAACAACCAAAATAAAGGATGTAAAAAATCTGAAGCTAGCCTAAGATTCATGTGTGACAACATGAAGAGGAATATCTTATGGGTGATAAAAATTCCAGAACAGGAAGAGACCAAAAAAAAAAAAAAAAGCACAGAAAAGATGCTCAAACAGCTGCTGGAAGAAAATGTCCCTACATCATGAAACATGAGATGATATGAAGCTCTGAATTGTCAGCAGAAACAAGACAGGAAAGACGGCAACAAGGAGACATACAAAACTTGTGTTTTTCTCTGTTTTTGTTGGTTCTCAGTCCAAAGGAATCCCTTTAGTATTTTTGGTTGTTTTTGTTGTTAAGTGTCGTTGAGTCAGTTATGACCCATAGCGACCCTGAACAGAGTTTCTGAGGCTGTAAATCTTTATGAGAGCAGAAAGCCTCATCTTTCTCCTGTGTAGCAACTGATTGTTTTGAATTGCTGACCTTTAATTTCTGCTTATTTAGAAATATTCAAATTTTGATGGCAACAAATTCTTTTCCAGTGCACGTGTGACATCCTTCAGAATGTCTTTGGCAAATTCCCTTAACTTCTGTTTATCTGGGAATATTTTTATTACACCATGTCTTTGTTTGACAGCTTTGCTGGGTAGAGGAGCCTTACTTGGCACTTTTTTTCTTTCGGAGTTTTATATATGTCTCCTCATTGCCTTTCTTGCATGCATGGTTTTTGCTGAAAGATTAGAACTTAATCTTATTTGCTTGCCTTTCGATGTAACACTTTTCTTTTCCTTAGCTACTTTCAGGATTCTCTCCTTGTCTTTGATTTTGTAGAGCTTGATTATGTCTTGGTGATTTTCTTTTGGTGCCTATTCTTCCTGGGGTCCCTTGAACTTCTTGAAGGCTTATCTTTTAATTTTTCAGGATGTTAGAGAAATTTCTTCCAGCAATTCTTCAATGATCTCCTCTGTTGACTTTTGTGATTCTTCCTGATCTGGAATGCCAATAGTTCTTACTTTATTCCTTTTCATGTTGTCCCACATAAATCTTAGACTTTTTTCAGATTTCTTTTTATCCTTTTATCTATTTGCTCTACTATCTTAACAGTATTGAAAGATTTGTCTTTCAGCTCACTGGTGTTGGCTTCGGTCTCATTAATTTCACTACTTTGCTCTTTCAGTGCAATGCCCATTTCTGATATTTTATTATTAATCACTTGGGCCTCTTTTTTACAGGTTTCGAATTGTTTCCAATGCTGTATCTATCTTATTTGATTTTTCTTGTAGAGCTTTCATGACTTCTTCCTTATTTTTCTCAAACTCTCTGCACAAATTTTGGATGCATTTTAGTATCATTCTCCTGAATTCCTTCTCAGGAAGTTTCAAGACATACACTCTTTCCAGTGGATAGTCTAGGTCTGCAAAAGGAAATGGTTAATGTTCAACCATTTCAAGAGATACCATATGAACAAGAGCCAATGATACTCAGGGAGGAAGTCCAAAGTGCATTGATATAATTGGCAAAGAACAAGGCACCAGGAAGTGATGGAAT